GGGTGGCAGGCCGGGTGCGCGCCGGGCTGGGGCAGAGCGCGCTTGCGGCTCCCACCGTTGAACATGGCCTTCACGTCCTCCCAGGCGAAGACCAGCTCGTCCTGGGGACTCTTGTCGGTGAGCTTGAGATGGCGACGCCACGAGTTGAAGTTGGCTGCGTCCGGCTGCGTGTACTTGGCGTCGGGCGTGCGGTGCGAGTGGAAGATGAACTTGTTGGGCGAGAAGTACATGTTGCAGTAGCTGCACTTGATGCACTTGGCGCGTGAACTGTTGTAGCGCGCGGGGATGAAGCTGCCGCGACAGCCCCAGGCGCACTCGTGCGACACGTCGAAGGCGAAGTTGTCGGGCAGTTTGGGCGGCCGGTTTTCGCCCAGGAAAGACTTGCATAGGCGCTCGGCCTCGCGCTTGGTGATCATACCGCAGCGGCGCGAGGAGATGGGCATGGCCCCCGCGCGCCGCAGGATCTCCAGCTGCACCGGCGTGCACTGCACGCACGTGATGCCCAGCGCCACGCGGCGGTTGTGGATCTCGTTGTAGCTGAAGTTCTTGAGGAGCGTGTTGGAGATCTGCGCCAGGCACAGGCGCTCCTGCCCGTCGATCACCAGCGACACGATGGGAATGCCATAGAGGATCACCTGGCCCACCTGGTTGGGCTTGAGGTTGGCGTGGCCCGGCCGCGGCTGGCTTAGTGCGTCCGGCTGGAAGGCGCTCGACGGTGACGCCAGCAGGATGTCGTTGGGCCCTGGCAACGGGCTGGAAGCCATCTCCTCCGCCGCGGGATCCCGGGCAGAGCCGTCCAGATCTGCCTTGGAGACTGGAAGGGAAAGGAGAAACATTGAATTGCAGCCTTTTCAGACTAAAAGAGGAGGGATGAGGCGATTCGCTAGCTGAATAATCACAGTAACTTCTTTGCTTTGGTTGAAACATAATTATTATGGCCAAGGGACCAAGTTCCTGACACAAGAAACTAATTTCTTTTACTTTCCTTCAAGGTTGCCCTTTAGAAATGTCATCAAATGGGCCTTTGGAGCGACTTTTGTTTCACACATGCAAAAGAAATTAATATGTAAAAAAGAAGAAGTCGTCAATTCCTAAACCACTTAAGTCCTTTCCCCATTTATGGAAGATTTTTGGATAAAAAGGCATCCCTGCTAGAAATGAGACAGGAACGATAACAGGCGTAAGTAGTACAGACTATAAAAGTTATGAAAAATTGGGACACGGCCATTGAGACTCAAATTTAAAGAGAGAGATTATTCATATGTGCTTGAAAATAGATTGATTTTGGTTAATAAAATTAACCCAAACCTTTTAACAAGTGATTTTTTGGTGGTATCTGTGGTTTCCTTGGAGGAAATTTACTCTTGGGTGAGACAAAGCTCATTAAAGCAAAATACACATTCATCCCAATTTCATTCATTTTCCTGATCATTAGATATTTTGCTTTTGATATTGTAGATAGCATTTTAAAAAGAAAAATAGAAAAATGTACAATACCGTATATATGATTGCAACAAAATATGGCATTTCAGTTTTTCACAGACCCACTTGCTGACTGTGTAGTTCTGGCCCCCTTTAAGTGGCTTTAAAAGATGAAGCTGGTGACTTGTAGACACTTAAAAAATGTTTTTCTGTCATTTCCATGGCAGTGAGCAAATAGATACAGGCATGTGTGTTAAACTCAGAAACAGTGCAAAAAAACTAATGCTTCTTAGAGATCTTTATTAGCAGGCTTTGAGAGGCTAATTTAGTTCTAAGGAGAACTACCGACATTGGCTTTTTTTTTTTTAAATCTGATCTAAGTCAATATTCCTCTGGGGGAAAGGTGCCCACCCACCATCTAGCTCATCTGTGGAATAGATAAACTGTGGCAGCAGTGGAGGCGGAAGTCGGGTTAGGCCTGTGGTAAAATTCCCAATTTCATCTTTGGTCAACAGGAGACCACAATGGGGAAGAGATCCAGTACAAAGTTGAAAATACAGAAAAAGCAAGCGAAAGAAACCTTTGTGACAGTGCTGTTAAGTCAAAATAAACGAAATGGCCCATTCCCTGGGAAAACAGTGACCTTCCCACAGGTACAAGCGATGGAAGCCTCTCAGGACCATCGCTGGCCCTGGAAAATCACCGCCGGCCAGAGCATCTCCTCTCTCGGCCAAGGAACACTGGGGATGTTATTACAGCGATTGCAAAGGGCGTGCGATCCCAGCCCCTCACCCAAATGATCTTAGCCTGTCTCTGGACGCCCCACGACCTCTACTCCGACGCCTTTGCCCCACTGCCTTCCGGATGCTCAGCTCTCATTACGTCCTGGGGCCTCCACCAAGGGGGAACAAACCTCGACGCGGTCAAACGAGACGAGCGCCTGACTTGTCACTTCGGATGGATCAGACTCAATATTTCCAGGGGACAGGGTGTTAAATGGCAGTTCGAGGCACGGCGATACCTGGGCTCGGCGCAATCAGCCCCAGCTTCGCCAAATGGCCCTTCAATGCTCATTTGCTTCCCAAACAAGATTCTTATTATCTTAATCATATCCGGGAACAACGTGCCGGCACTCTCGCTCCCCAGCCACAGCGCAGCGGGCCTGGCCCGGCCGGGGAGCCGGCTCTGCGTTACGGACAGGCAGCCTTAGCAGCCAGGGCCGGGCCGAACGGAGTCTCCTCCCGAGCGGTCTCCACTCTCCCTGTAAACCCTCCCAGAAACTCCCGTCAGAGAAGACACAAATAAGAGGGTTTAGGTTGGGGAATTTCTTAAGGGTCCAAGGGGAGAACAGACAATTAAAAGTTAGTTGAACTAAGAAAGGAAGGTGGCGAACTTCCTTATGCAGCTTCAGAGCCAACGACCCCCAACTCAACTCCCCTGGCCTCCAACCACCACTGAAGGTCGCCCCTACCCCCACCCCCCCAACCTAGCCCGGAACATCCCACAGCTGGGGACCTCAAACGGGGATCCGCGAGCTGAGCGCCGAGTTAGGGCCGACCAGTCCCGGCTGTACCTGGTAACCCCTAGGTGTCTTTACGCGCGTGGCTGCCCGCCCATCTTTCGAGGGCGCTCGGAGGCGAAGCATCCAAGCGGGTCCTCGAATCCAGCAGGCGGGACTCCAGCAGGCTCCGCGCAAAGATCCTGGCTCCCGTCGACTCGAACCCCGGCCAGGGGCAGTATGGCCGTCTTATTTGCGGCAGGGCGTCCCCTAGACCGCAGAAAGCGTGGCCGCGCGGCAACCCGCGGCAGGCGAGCCCCAGGTGGAGCGCAGTCTGTCAGCGTCTTTCTCTAGCTCTGAACTCGCGTCGGACCGAGGGGACGCCACCCAGCGGGCAGGGTGACGTCACCGTCTCCCTGACACTCCACATTAAAGGGCTGGCATGTTACCGGGAGGGAGGGGGAGAGCGCAAGCGAGAGCGAGCGAGATCGAGATCTGTTCTCGGCAGGCACGAAAGCTAAGCAACCCGCAAGTGAGAACCAGCTCCCCGACCTCGCCGCGGAGCGCGGTGGTGCCGGAGCCGCAGATCTGAGTTAGCAGGGGAAGCTCAACGGTCTGCGTGGCTCGCAAAGACCTGGATCCCGAAAGCCCGGATTTTAGAAGGACTCCTGCCGGTGGATGTCCCCTCCCCTCATCTCTCAGAGCCGCCCTCCCTCAAGAATGATCCCTGTGGTAGGTCCGAACCAGCAGTCTCCCTGAGCCTCCGAAGGCAGAGGAAGTACAGTCAGCCGAAAGCACGGGCTCCAGCGCCTCGTCGGAAACCCTGTGAGATGAGAAGAGGGCAGAAGTTCCCGCTCAGGGTGCCAGTCTGCAAACTTGGAGGGAAGCATGGCGTGTGCGCCACCTTCACATGGACATTTCCTCTTCGGGACGAGGTAGAGGGTTACCCCAACCTCGTCTAAAGGTGTCCAAGTACACAGGGGCCTCAGTATGTGTGTGTGTACACTCATCTCTCACCTTCATTCAAAATTGTTCTCCATTTCATAATAAGGCCGGTGCAGGCCACCTCAGCTCCAAGAATAGATGAAATGGGAAGCAGGGAGGCCTTCAACCCTGACCAACCGGTGAGCAAGTTCCCAATTCCCCCAAAATAAATTTCCCCAAGACCACATAGGAGTTTGTCCTTAGAAAACAAAACGAAGCAAGTAGGATGAGAAAGAATGCTTTCCCATAGTTTCTCCAAAGTGAGACACACCCCAGGATATTAGTAAAATGTCAATATTTCATTGCTTCCTAAGTGATCAGTTAAGAGTCTAAAGCC